ATGATCGGTGGTGCATACAACCAGCCAGCCAGCTAAAGGATTGAGTACACACGGTGTACCTACATAGAATTTGTGATCCTGGTCCAGGAGGAATAAGTAGAGAACACCCGGTTCAGTGGAAGCTGAGTCGACAGCAGAGAATGTGCCAGTTTTGTCGTAGTAAAGACTACAGGAGATCCAGCTTTTTAATGCGAACTGCTCATGTAGGATGACTTCGTCAAGATCCCCACTTTCGTCGGACTGAAGAATTAATAACGTTGAGTCATCCCGAAGAATTGCAAGGCAGGGGTCTGCAAAGCTGGCACTAACGGCCATTCGTTCATCATTGGTGTCATCATCCCAGATGGGATATATTTGGGTTAAACCCAAATCTATTTCTCATCAGCGCAACCATTCCAGCACTAGATCGGGTCGGGGGCTTACCGCTATCATAGGTTCGAACTTCGTTTTTCAGAACTTGGACTACCCGCTTGTTACTCATCAAGGTGTTGATTTCGATAGTCACATCTTCATTCGGATTGAACTCAGTGGCTTTGAAGGGTTTCAAGACACCGGCATCTTCCAAGTAAACAAGAGACTCTTCTTTATCGATGCTTTTTGTCCTAGAAGCGATGACAAAATGGCGTGATTGAGGTCGATAGCCGTCCGAAATGCTGGTTGCCGCCTTTATGCCTTGTATTACAGAAGCTGTCCAGAGACATTCCACAGCCTCAACCTCAACGGAGTGTATCACATCAGGATCAAGCTCGCGACTCAGTACAACCAAACCACCGCCACTATCAGAGCCCTGGGCTGCCACTAGTTCTAAGCTAGCAGAATCATATTCGGAATGATTATATTCCGTTTTCGCAACCACAGAGCGCCTGCCTAGGACAATGTCTCTCACAGGGGCAATGTTGATGAGTCTGTCGAGGAGGCGAAAATAACGTATTCCAGAAGTATGTTCAAGCTTTGCGGAACCACCAGCCGGCGCCAATTTTGGTGATGTGGCATATAAATCGTCTTCGTAAACATCGTTATCACTCTGGTCATCGTCCATGTCCACAGAATCATCCATCGCTTTCGACAATGGCCGAAGCTTTTTCGAGCTTGAGGATGCGAAGGAGTAGCCTAGAAGGATGGAGTCCGAGCCTTCGCTGCCTAAAAAAACCCTACTTTCACCAATAGACGCCGAGGAGGAAGCTGCTGATTTCATAGAAACGACCCCGGCGTGGCTGGGTAAGGGGTGTACTGAGATTCCGGAGACTGACCTGCCATCGAGCCTAAATTTCACGGTGGCGAAGTCTCCTGTCGATAACACCAGCAGCAAATCACCACTGCCATCGTCCAGAGTCTCAAGAATGCAGTTTTCTAGACGCAGAGCCAGGTCTGATTGATCCGACATAGAAAATGCCGAGACCAGTCTGGAAAACTCGTTGACTCCGACCGCGTTGGTCTTGCCAGCCTGATCAACATGCACCAGCTCATTGGACCCAATTAGCAAAGCACCGCCAACAGGAGGCGGGAGTGCTACCACTTTGAAGAGATCGCTGGGCAACCTAGATACTGAAAGCAAGGTGGTGGATGCTCGCTGTTCCAGATCGAGAGTAAACACGGAATAAAAGACAATGTCTTTTCTTTCTTGCAGAAGTGCACTAGACGTCGCGACCTGCGAGTACAGTATTCCAAAAGTCGGTTCCCTATATTCGTATAGAAATGCGAAACTTATTGGGTGCAGAATTGTTGGGTCCAGTGCACTCAATGGTAAGACGAAGGATGGAGCATACGGGGTTTGATATATTGTGGCATGGTTGGCCTTTTCACGATCGTTATCCCCAAAGCTGTGGCTTTCTTCATTCTGTCCTTCTAAATCTGAGTCATAGTCATCCATCACCAAGTCATCCCCTGGCTGATGAAAAGGAATGATGGCGAAATTCCGGATCCCGAAGTTGAATATCGCACATCTACTGCTTGGGTCCACACTAAGAATGCTGCCACAACTGCTCAAGTCGGGAACCCAGGGGCTACGGGTCAAATCATCCCGCTCATAATAATGAATCGAGATTGTAGAGATACCACGGCGTTCCGGATCCCATTCAATCAAGCTGAGTTTGGCATTGCGAAACGCGATGAGAATGGCATCTCCTCCGCTTCTTGAGTTCAATATTTTGACCCGACACAGGTTGGTTGCTGTGCCAGCTAAGGGGTACTCCCTCTCCAGAACCAGTTTCGTTGCTTGTTCACTGAGCTCCCCTTCCACTCGTCGTAGACCACAGGGGTTGATTTGCAACGAGAATATTTGAAGTAAAGAGGTCTTCACGACAATGAGATTGGTAGATGTTTCGGTCAGGAAAGGTAGTGCCAATGCATGAGTGACCCCAGTGGGGGCCAGCAATTCGGTATAGCACTGCATCTGCAATGTTGAGCGAGATCTGCGTTCGTATTTGTTAGTATCAAAAGTCTGGCCGGCCACCCGGCTGCTTTAACTGCCTTGCCGTTTCCTCAACATTGCCTTATATCAAAGGCGAGGCAAAGGAAGAGGGGCAAAGAACAGGTCGGTGACACAACAAAAGGCATACAATAAAAATGGGCGTGAGTCGAAAGGTACATCCGGAACTTCAACAAAAACACTAGGCTCGGGATGGGATCGATTAGAGTGATAATTCACGTGACAGCTTCATCAGATGATGTAAGACGCCACTGACCGGGCCTAGTCGAGTTATAGCTTTACTAACCAACCAACTCGGCTCTTTTCGCGACAAGGACGCTTGGCCTACGCTCACATTCAGTTCAGTGGTATTGTGAGTAGGACGGGATTTCGCTTGATGTGTTGACTTCTTCACTTCAATTATCTCGAAATCTGCTTACATTTAATGTGAGCTACTGGACTATACTAAATGGCTTCTCTGCAAACATCCCTTATTTGGGTCATATATACCATTGCGGTAGCCGTTGCGGTCTTGGTAGCCTGGTTCCTCGTCCACATTTATCAAACACCTCGAGATCGTTCGCGCGCCGTGACCTTAACTTGTATTTTTACCATAACAAGTCTTCTTGCAACTGTTCTCCTACTGCCAGTTGATGTTGCTCTGGTCTCTTTAGCGACGTCATCAAGTCTGGGCCAGAGGAAAGGCTGGGCCACTCAGAATGATGTCGACAATTTTCTTCTCTCTTTGACTGTTGTATACTATCTACTCTATTCACTTGATGCCATCCTATGCCTCTTAGTCATCCCGTTTGTTTACTTCTGGTACGAAGAGTATGATGAGGTTGGTACTGAAGCAGGTGAACAATCCTCGGGCCAACGACTCTGGGCTGCCCTCAAATATACTATGTCTTTTGTCGCAATTGTGGCAGTGCTACTTCTCGTCGGCTCTCTTGTTCCTATGTCGAACGTCGAGAACGCCACTGAAAGTGAACCTCTGACGGCCTCAATGGTTAAAAATCGTATGCCCTTCGCTTCCCTTTTCAGCCTTGTTGCCCCTTGATTACCTCGAGCCAAGATACTATCCTGATTCGGTCCCCTTGCGAAGCTGAATCCTGACTCACTTATTTATAGGAGGCGAGCGGGCCTTTTTGTTTACAATTGGAGCACTCATGACAATCGGAGTGCCCTTTTATGCCCTGTATACGTCCACAGGCCTTGCTCTTCTCCCTCTGCAGGCAATCAAAGTTTCGTCGGCATCGAAGGATACATGGAAAGCTGCCATGATTGTGCAGCTTGAGTCCAACAGAGAACGCCAACGCCAGTTAGATCGGCGCTGCGGGGGTAATCCTAGACTTTTGTCCTCCAAAGATCGTAGAGAATTGGACACCCTTGTTCGAGAGGAGAGGACGTTAGTCCGGCGCCGGCGCCTAGCAGACGAAGCTTACGCGGAGCACCGAGACTGGGTGGTCAAATTGTGGCTGAAAGCCGAGGCTACATTCCGTCCATTGAGAGTATTGGGTGGCATTGGCTTGTTTCTAATTGCGTTACTGATACTGATATCCATGTTCTTGACATCTATCGACAAGGCCAGCAACTCGCTCTGCAAACACCGTTGCGGATACCTCCTCAAACACATGCATACGTTCAACCCGGTAGATTGGATCCTGGTTCAGTCTGCGAGGATATTTCCAATCGACTACATCATGTTCACGATACTCACTTTACTTCTCTTCTTCAGCTCAGTATTCGGGATCGCAACAATAGGCATTCGACTCCTCTGGGTGAATATCTATCAGATCAGAAGAGGCCATACATCTCCGCAAGCTCTTCTGCTGACAACGGTGATCTTGATGCTGACCATCTTAACACTCAACTATTCATTGTCCATGAATGTGGCCTCGCAGTACGCATTATTTGGTTCTCAAACTTTTTGTGATCGCCCGCCAAGCCCTGAAGGGCATCCAGATTGCTCGGATAACGCGCAACTCATGAAACGATGTTCGGACATTGCAGACAATACAGCTGCAAAGCAATTTTGTACGCCGAGTGTTGCTAGCACATTTGTGAATCATGTGACAACAAAGTTTCCCTTCTTCGGGGTGATACTTTTCTGGTCTCAATTCATGTTCATAGGTACCTAATACCGTCATACTGCCGCATCCCAGCGAGATACATATCGTTGACATTTCGTGTATTACAGGCTTTTATTTACTCGTTGTTGTCACGTTCATCATTCGCTCACCACGACAAGACGAGCGTTTACTGGACGAGGAAGCCGAGGAAGCCGAGGAGGAGAATCTCCTAGCGAGCACGGGAAGACGTGGCAATGCTGGGTTAGATGACATTATACGAAGGATGGACAGCCAGAATGACAGCAGGAGTGTAGGATAACAATGCTTGTGAATCTCGTTCCAAGCAAGAACTCAGGCCAGTCATCAGAAAGTTGAGCGGCAGTGACACGTATTCGTAACATCATATGGCTCGATTCTCCTGGGTCGCCCACAAAGAGGGCCCACCATTGCTGGGAAATTGGCAACGGAGGGACAGGAGTGTGATCCAATGACCGGGTTCGGTTTTGTGACCATGTGTATGGCTAAAGACGGTCATCCAGCAATGCGAGAGCACTCTCAAATGCCTTGACAACATCGGTATCTAAGCCCCTGATCAGCACGGCCTCATTTACAAGAAGGTGTTATCAGGAATATACAATGTCGCTTCTTCTTATCTAAGCTCTCTTCGGAATGCTGAACATAATGCATCTGGGTCTTGAATCTAAAATCAATAGTCAATATCAGACCTCTTGGAGCCGAGGTAGGAAGTAAACCTTTTCAAGGCTCTTGTTTCGTCACGCGTAATAGTGGTTTGAGACCATGCCATGAAAATCTATGCAGAAATTAGAATGAAATCATGTAAACACAAAGAACCACATGAACAACCTCTAGCATTCTGGAGATATGGTTCTGGAGGGCATCTTCTGCTTCTTTGTGTTGCTCCATGACTTTGTAATATCTATTCTCAAGTTCTTTCCAGTCATATGTACCTAAGTTGCGGATGGGGAAAGGTTCCATTTGCACAGTTTCATGACACTTAATATGTGAGTAAACCTGCGCCCGCTGACAAGGCATTGTCAACTCCATTCCCGCGCTTAAAGGTTGCATAGAGACTGGTAATATTGAGTCTAAGCCCACAGCTTCAGACCAAGGTGAGGTGGTTGTAAGAAGGCTAGCAAGCGCAGCCGCGCAAAGATGGCAGGTTTGATCAGAAATGAGGCTGGAGGGGAACAAAAGAAAGGAAGAGAGGAGAAGCGGTCAACTTCCATTAGGTATACCTACTGACACCAAAAGTTACAATACTTCCACTGAAGTCTCTTTGTGGTCTCACGGGCAGTATTTATGAAGAGGAGGACAGAGATACAAGGCTCACTGTGTACGACCCTTTATGGGAGGAAATTGTAGGTGCTCATATAATATCAGCTTTGTTCAGCTATAATATGGCCAGATGGTAATTTTGAGAGAGTACCTATGCAGTAGTAGTACTCCGTACTCCGTAGTATGTGATGACTTAGATGCTATTTGCACTGACTGTAATTCTAATACTACCAGAGCTAACCTTTCTAGAGTAGGCGGTAGAGCCTTTAAGAACTTTATTTTCTGTAATATTATGTACAGATACATAATAAAATAATTTGATATTGATATAGACCCTAATAATCTTAACAAAAGAGATAAAACAAGACTTCCTGAGGTTGCTGGTTCCCAATCTTCAGTCTGAGGTACTGTACGAAATGAGTGCGGTAATTAGTCAAAAGGTTCGACCTAGGTTGTGTTAACTGATTTCTATGTAATTAATTAACTGAGCAGGTGACGTAAGCAGCAAACCATTCTTCCCTTTAGAACTAACTGACTGACTACTGCCTGTCAACTTACCTCTGCGGCTCTATGTGATCGCCACTGGATTTTGACAAGTCATGAGGGATCTGCTCCCTCCAAGTCGGCACGCATGGGTATCATACCAGAGAACTTGATTTATAGCCATTTATTTGAAAGCTATTGCAATACAGAATCACACCAGTGCCACCCCCAATGTTCAACCCTCCTAAGCATCGGAATTTCTGGAAATGAGCTGTCACATATGTTCCCGCCCCCCGACTTCAAACCTACGGTGCATCTGTCCCACTTGTGCTCGCAATCGGCTCTACCAGCTACGGATCGAGTATTCCAAACTGCTGCTTGAGAAAGAGTCTATAAAACAACAAATCGAGGCTGAAGTGCTGCTGAGCAAGCCAAGCGAAGACCTGACGGATGAGAAGAGCATCTCGCATGTCTGCCTTGATGGAGTGTCTTCGTCCTGGGTCTCACGGAGGATTGTGGAAGAGGAAGCTGGGTCATCTGCGAAAACGACAGTTCTTGCAAGCCACATCGAGGGGCTAGTTAGTGACATCAGAGAAAAAAGACTCGAAATCTCCCGACGCAGGGTATTTTTAGCACGACGACAGTCGGACGCAGAATCCGCAAAGTATCAGCTTTTCGAGCGAGAGGCAGCAATCCTGGCCAGTATACAGAACAGTATCAAAAGGACTGATCATCTTTGGCACTCCCTTCACAGCAAGACCACAGAAGCACGGATATTTCTGTGCCGAGAAGCAGCCAATCTCTACGATTTACGGCAGGGGTTGAAAAGGGTTGACGGTGTAGTACAAGAGACCTATACCATTGGCGGTTTGCACTTGATCGATCTCAGGCATATGAATGGAAAGTATACCCTCGGGCAATGACTAGATATGTTTATTTTATTAATTCTCCAAGTAGGCGTCTCGCCGGCCCATATCTCAACGGCACTCTCATACATCGCACAGCTACTTGTCCTCATCTCCCACTATCTATCACTAAGACTTCCAGCAGAAATTATGCTCCCTCACCGGAATTATCCTTTACCAACTATATTTGCGCCCTCTGCGTCGTACCTCCTACGAGATGTAGGCTCGAAGTTGTCTTCTGCACAGCAACCAGCGCTTGATCCAATGGAACCTCAACGACCTGACTCACACCGTCTGTCTCGGCCAAGGCTCTTGTCCATTGACAAAAGTCTTCCCAGATTGGCGAAGGAGGATCCTGGCACGCACGCCCTTTTTCTCGAAGGAGCGACATTGCTAGCTTGGAATGTTGCTTGGCTGTGCCGCACCCAGGGGCTTAATTCAATGTCAGATTCTTGGGAAGAAATCTGCGACATGGGGAAAAATCTATGGCAATTGCTTGTGGCACCTCCCGCGCAGCAATCAGCACTAATGAGGGCGTTTGCTGGTCGAGACATTCACATGAAGGTGAAGACATCCAAGATCTCACCTAAGACTAGTATTCAACGAACCGTGTCATTCCCGATGTTAGGGCACTATTCGCACGGCACTGCGCATTCCTTCCTGGGTGCTGCCGAAGGTGCAGAGTTTATGCGCACTTGGAGGCTTCCATCCCCGACCAGAGTCATAGATAAGTTGAAGTCGACTTTGATGGGAGAATTGGCGAGTGCAGAGTGGGAGTTACTCGAAAGGCGCGAGTTGGAGGACATGATTCATGATCGAAGCAGTTCTGTGTCTCAATCTTCTTCCATTATTCCTGCTAGTACCTGCAAAATGGGGTCTGTCAACGCAAATGCAGTCTCAGAATCACAGGATTTGGAGATTTCAGGTGGTGCTGGCAGCACTTCCCGCTTGAAAGGCGTGAGTGGCTGGACCAAGTTGAGAAGCAGATAGTATGTTGGAAGTCTTAAGCATTCAAGTCATAGTGCAAACATCGGTGTCTATATGTTTGTGATTTGAGAAGCATATACCAGTGGCTAGCGTAACGGGACTGGTACCTTTAGAAATGTTTGCAACCCCTCTCTTAGATGGCTCATCCCAATTGTCTAGCAAGACTACCTGGTAGCAACGCCCTCATACTGCGGGTAGAATCACGGTGACGTGCTCTTGGTCATACAGATCATTATAGAATACCTTACCTAGCGACCAGGCAGGCGATGCATGGGTGTAGCGTTTCTAAACCAATTATTTTGGGGCGAAGGGGGGTGGAAACTCATTTTCTTCCACTGTACGGAGTAGACCTGAACTAATTTTCTTAAGTCATGATGGCCTGGTACCAGTACCAAAACTACCTTAATATAGGGTATAATCTGGTACTGCCCACGGTACATGTGATTCTATTATTGAATCTGATTGGAAATACATAGTTAGGCAGGATCTTGAGACTTTGTTCTGTCCACGACGATGTGTAGCTAAGTTATAGCAATCACATACTGAGTACAATAATACTAGGTCCGCGGTATGGTAGTTTAGTTACCTAGGCTGATTGGGGCCAGTATTATATAATCAGGCCGGGAAGATAAGATTATCAGTAAACTCGTGTTCACTGAGTAACTCCAACACCAATCCTGCACGATGTGCCTTTGATACAAAGGTAGAAACCAACTTCATATGCCGTTTCCTAGGCAGGTCACTTGGAGCACTCTTTGATCAATAGGACATCATTTTCGTGGTATCATTTGAAAACAGGAGATACCTCTTGCCGTTTCCCCTCACTTTTACTCGAGACCTTGCCGAAGCAGACGGCACGCCCAAAGTCTGCCATAAGGTCATGGATATAGCGGAAGTCGGATTTTCCACGGGCTTTAGACGAGAATGAACCCAACTTCATCATGGGAGCTGGCTAATATTAGCCATCTTGGTGAGTCATAGCACACCCTATAAGCAAAGTGAGATTAATTGAGCACCACGGTGAAACTGTCATTGCATATTTTTGCGTTTCCTAAATAGCAATTAATAGGCACTTGCTAATGTCGCAGGTTTTGGAAATACCAATTTGTTGATTGCGAGTATCCCTGATACTCTTCTGCGAGCCGAAATAGCACGGCGAACCCCAAACGACAGTGCTGCAACCTGTGGCTCAAAAGAACGAGGTGCTTATAATACTCCGATCCATGTCCTAGCACTTTTTCTTATACTTGTGTTAAGCACACTTGGTATGCCTTATCTCCTCTTGTGCAGTACATTTCAAACCTCGAGTCTAACGCCATAGATACAAGCTTGTTCATTCCCTGTACTTGCCCGCCGATTTCCCCGTCTACCAATACCGCGTCGGTTTCTTTTTTTATCTAGGCATTTTGGAACAGGAGTTTTAATTGCCACTGCCTTTGTCCATTTGCTGCCCACGGCATTTATTTCCTTGACTGACCCCTGTCTTCCTCGCTTCTGGAGTGAAACATACCGCGCCATGGCTGGATTCGTTGCCATGATTTCGGTCTTTGTTGTTGTGCTCGTGGAAATGTTCTTCGCCCTAAAGGGGGCAGGTCATGTTCACGGGAGTGAATACGACAAGCTAATGAATGATGTCGGTATAGACTTGGCAAGTGAGGGTTTGCATGAAGACTTAGAGGACGACCAAGAGCCTGGAAGTCATGTTTATCTTGGTAGGCTTGAGGCGTATCATAGCACAGACGCGGTACCACCATCGTCAAGTTTTTATATCGGAAGCCCAACCAACGAGCCTACTCTGTCTAGCACTCTGGGGCTTACTGAGTTGAGTGATGGTATAGACTTTACCCGGTCACACCATCACGCTACTTCTCCTTTGGATAGGAAGAGTGATCAAATGCATCGGCGCTCACCTTCTAGCGGACGACAAACTCACGCTGATATGCACCAAAGGACGAACATGGAATCATCTAGGCATAATCCGCAGCGACAGCTACTGCAATGTCTGCTGCTGGAGGCGGGGATTCTTTTTCATAGCATTTTTATTGGGATGGCCCTCAGTGTTGCCACAGGAACTTCATTCATTGTCCTCCTCGTCGCGATTTGCTTTCATCAAACGTTCGAGGGGTTTGCTCTGGGTTCAAGAATTGCGTCACTGATCCCAGACCTCTTTGCCCCGTCTTCCATGAAGCCATGGCTGATGTCTCTGGCGTACGGAACTACCACCCCTATCGGACAAGCCATTGGCCTCATAATGCATAATTTCTATGACCCAGCAAGCACTACGGGGCTACTTATGGTTGGTATCACGAATGCCATCAGCAGTGGTCTTCTATTGTTCGCAGGTCTTGTTGAACTTCTGGCAGAAGACTTTTTAAGTGAAACCAGTTACGCAACACTTAGAGGAAGGAGACGCATCGAGGCCTGTATTGCAGTGATGGCTGGAGCTTTATTGATGGCGGTCGTTGGCGCTTTCGCTTAAGCAGTTAGGTTTCATCCTCAAGGTCTCAGTCTTCTTACTCTCAAGTACGTAGTCACTTTTTCACTGAACATTGCGACACAGGTCAGAATCTGGTGTCCCATTAAACTCATCTAGCAGTTACTTGATAGAACAGAGAAAAAACAGGTCAATACATGCGGTTCTCGCGACACTCGTCGATGCTAGCCATATTCTCTGATCCTATTTCTACAGCACGATATTTCCTAGATCTCTTTGAGCTATGTGTTCCCACAACTGTTTTGGGAGTTCCTTGCGTAGTTTCATATAGGATATTGTTCCAGGCAAGGCCATGGCCTGTATAACTTTAGGACATACCTTCCGCACTACGGCCTTTAATCCAAGGAATCATGCAGGAATGGTTTAAAAATTGGTTTCCTAGGAAAGACACGGTGCTATATGGAGCCTAGCATCTTCGATCCAACATTTGACGCGAGAATAAATTGTTATCAGACCGCTCGTGGGGGACTCGTCGGTCTTCTTCAAAACAAAAATGGCCATGAGCTCAAGTGACTCAACGGAATTGCGCTTCCAAACATTAGACAAGAGACTCCACAACCATGGCGCTCGCGCCACCACCTCCATTGCAAATTCCCACACAACCGATCTTGCCGTTCCGAGCTTTCAGAACACCAAGCAGGGTAGTCAAAATACGGGCACCGCTGGCACCGATCGGATGACCGATAGCAACAGCGCCGCCATGAATGTTGACCTTCTCTTCGGGGATGTTGAGCAATTTCATGTTGGCCAGAGCAACCACGCTGAATGCCTCATTGATCTCAAATGCATCCACAGCATCCTGGGCAATACCTGCATGTTTGAGTGCCTTAGGAATTGCGAGAGCCGGCGCAGTGGTGAATTTACTAGGCTGGTGAGCAGCATCTCCCCATCCAAGGATTTTAGCAACGGGCTTGAGGTTGAGCTCTTTAACCTTTGCTTCGGAAACCAAAACGATAGCCGCAGCCCCGTCATTCAAAGGGGAAGAATTAGGGGCTGTCACAGTTCCCGACCCAGGAATGAAAGCAGGCTTGATGGCCCGAAGCTTATCAGGATTGAGCTAAAAGGAGAGAAAAAGTACAACATCAGCCCGTGTCTGTGTGCAAAGAGGAATTCTGTGGGAACCTACATTCTTCGGCTCCTCATCCTGAGACACCGTGACACCCGGCTTGCCCCTAAATCCAGGCAATTCAATTGGTGCGATCTCGTCATTGAAAAGACCGGCTTTCTGTGCAGCCTGGGCTTTTTCGTAGGTCCGGATAGCATAGTTGTCCTGCTGTTCCCGGCTCAAATCGTGGTCTTCTGCACACTCTTCGGCTTGCAGACCCATAAGTTCCTGCTTGCCTGCATCGGTCAGGCCGTCTTTCATGATGCCATCCACCAAGCTTTGATGGCCATATTTGGCCCCGGTGCGGAGATTTGGGAGATAGTGTGGGGCGTTCGACATGGACTCGGCGCCACCGGCCACAACAACATCCGCGTTACCAGTCATGATTGTTTGGGCTCCAAGAATGACTGCCTTCAGACCAGATGCGCAAACCTTGTTGACCGTGGTACACACCGTAGACTCTCCAAGTCCGGCCCCAAGAGCACACTGTCTAGCGGGATTCTGACCAACACTAGTAAGGACGTGTTAAAAGACCACTCATGAGTAGAGACAATCTAAGCGGGAAGTGACTCACTTGGCGGAGAGGACGTTTCCGAAGAATACTTCCTGAACATCTGATGGGTTGATACCATCGGCTCTGTTAAGGGCCGCTAATCATGAATCCTGTCAGTTTCGGCACCGAAACCGGAGTAACTGGTATGTCAGACCTTTAATCGCATGAGAACCCAGCTGCGGGGCAGTCTGGCTTGATAGAGAACTATGTAAAAGGTAAGAGTGTGTTAGTTGAGGTTCAACCATTGTACATTACTGGTATCCTGGTGAAGACTCACCCCAAAAATGAGCCCACGGGGGTCCGCGCGGCCGAAACAATGTAAACAGGAGGGAGCGAAGACATGATGTACAGTTTTACCGAACAGGTTATGATCCGGAAAAGAGAAAAATATATGCTGACTTGATAGTGAGCAAAATTCAGCGGAATACAAGACCTTTAGGGACTGCTGAAAGGAAGTAAAGAAAGTGAGTCTGTAGGGGTAAATATGAAATGTCATGCGGAATCGGTGAGACAAACGGAAACTCTTCACGTTGTACGGAGCACCCTCCCCCCCACTAACTTACTCCATAAGAAACTAGTGACTACTAACTACTCCTGCCCAAGCGTAGCGGCCAGCATCGGACTGGCTTTCGGGGAGGGGCGGGCCAACGGACAAACGTACCACTTACGGGAACTCAAGCAAAAGCAGGACGCCAAGCTCGGGCCGGGATTTACCTCGTACGTATCAATCTAGGCACAACCTCAACAGCTTGATAGCAGGGAAGAAGCAGAAGGACGGAGAGGAGTCTCTTAACAAGAAAAATTTTTCCATCATAAAGAAAGGCAAAAACAAAAAAAGAAAAGAAAAGACAACTGACGTCAAATTAACCGAGAAGCGCTCAAGGCCAGACAAAATAAAAGATTGGCTGATCGTCTGCGAGAAAGAAATGCACTGTTGTATCAACACTGCTGACTTTTCTTGTGAGCTCTGCGAAACATTCTGTCTTCAGACAATAGTTTAATATCGCAATGGACGACCTTTACGACGAGTACGTTCCTAATCTTCACTTCTTCTGGATCTGCAGCTGACGGGTTGCTTCCCAGATTTGGCAACTATATTGGTGAAGTGGGAGAATCGGATGAGGAATCTGCTCATAATGAAGGTGCTGAGCCCCAAGCATTCACATTTGAGGAGGCGTTTGCGGGCGATGAAGAGGGGGAAGCCAGCGAGCATCAATTGATGGAAGTGGATGGTACGTGTTTACCCGGTTCGCGATTCAAGCACCATCGTACTAAGCCGTCTATTAGAAGGTCCCTCGAATGCTGTCATCCTTCATGAAGATAAACAATATTACCCGAGTGCCCAGCAAGTGTATGGAGAGGATGTTGAAACCCTTGTTCAAGAGGAGGACGCACAGCCTCTCTCTGAGCCTATAATTGCGCCCGTCCAACAAAAGAAGTTCGCAATCGAAGAAGCTGAGCTGCCGCAGGTCCATTACTCCAGAGAGTTCATGATGGATTTGCTCAATTTTCCCGAGCAGATAAGGAATATAGCAGTTGTCGGTCACTTACATCACGGCAAGACAGCTTTTATGGACATGCTTGTTACGCAGACGCATGATTTAGCTGATCGTCTGGAGAAACGAGCGGGCAGACGAAAGGAGGAGCAACTTCGGTATACCGATGTGCATTTTCTCGAAAGAGAAAGGGGCATTTCTATCAAAATGGCGCCTATGAGCTTGGTCCTCCAGGGCACAAGAGGCAAATCCCATCTTTTCAACATTATTGACACTCCGGGTCATGTGAATTTTGTCGACGAAGTGGCGGCCGCATGTCGCCTAGCTGACGGTGTCGTGCTCGTAGTCGACGTTGTCGAAGGCGTGCAAGCGAATACCGAGCAGATCATCAAGCACGCTATACTCGAAGATCTTCCACTCACGCTGGTGCTGAACAAAATGGATCGGTTGATACTAGAGCTCAAGATACCTCCTAATGACGCTTACTTCAAACTGAAGCACGTGGTTGAGGAGGTAAACACTATCATCGAGAATATCTTACCTGGCCAAGGTGAAAAGAGGCGACTTAGCCCGGAACGCGGCAATGTTTCTTTCGCGAGCGCTTCCATGGGATGGTGCTTCACCTTGCATTCGTTTGCCAAGATGTATGCAGCGACCTATCCTCAGATTGAGTCATCTGACCTCAGTTTACGTCTGTGGGGCGATATCTTCTACAATCCTAGAAGTCGGAAATTCACTCGAAAAGGACTGGAGGACGAATCAAAGAGGACATTTGTGAAGTTTGTTCTGGAGCCCATTTACAAGCTTTATTCGCACACTTTAAGCGAAAGTCCCGAAGACCTCAAGGATACGCTGGCTAGTGTCGGTGTTGATATCAAACCGTCGCAGTTGAGATCTGACGCAAAAGCCCTGCTTCGCCTGGTTTGTGACCAATTCTTTGGCGCTGCAACGGGATTTGTGGACATGGTACTCCAGCACATACCCTCCCCTGCAGACGGTGCACAAAAGAAGCTGGAGCGGTATTATACAGGACCCTTGGATACAAAGATTGCAGCAGCAATGGCTGCTTGTGACCCTGATGGCCCACTTGTTGTGCATGTCACCAAGCTCTTTACTAGTGCGGATGCATCGAAATTTCACGCGTTTGGGAGAATTATGAGTGGCACGGTCTGCCCCAGTCAACAGGTTCGTGTACTTGGTGAAGGCTATACTCCCGAAGACGAGGAAGACATGGTAGTTGCAACTATTTCCGACACCTGGATCGCGGAAACGGCCTACAGCATCTCCACAACTGGAGTTCCTGCTGGCAATCTAGTTCTTCTTGGGGGCGTGGACAATTCCATTGCGAAGACAGCGACTCTAGTGCCACTTCAGCTCGACGATCACGAAGATGCCTACATATTCAGCCCAATCCGGCACATGACTGAATCTGTATTCAAGGTCGCTGTTGAACCCGTCAACCCATCGGAATTGCCTAAGATGCTTGATGGTCTTCGTAAGGTGAACAAAAGCTACCCCTTGGTCTCAACCAAAGTAGAAGAATCTGGTGAACACGTGCTTCTAGGCACTGGCGAGCTCTATATGGACTGCGTGCTTCATGATCTTCGGAGGTTATTCTCAGAGATGGAAATCAAAGTCTCGGATCCTGTTACCCGCTTTTGCGAAACCGTTGTTGAAACATCAGCCATTATGTGCTATTCTATCACTCCAAACAAGAAGAACAAGATTACGATGATTGCCGAACCCTTGGATGATGGGATTGCTGAAGATATCGAGAGCGGCAGAGTCAGTATCAAGGATCCAATCCGCAAAGTGGCTCGGTTCTTCGAAGACAAGTACGAATGGGATAAGCTGGCAGCGCGAAGCATCTGGGCATTTGGCCCAGATGTGATGGGTCCAAATGTTCTGCAGGATGATACCTTGCCTTCTCAAGTCGACAAAAAGCTTCTCAGCAGCGTTAGAGACTCCATTACCCAGGGTTTCAGCTGGGGCACGAGGGAAGGACCTTTGTGCGAAGAACGTGAGTCTTCTCCTTTTTGTACTTCTTCGCTACCACTACCGTATACTGGTGTATATGGAGAAGATTACAATTTTAAAACTAGCTAACTGCTGTTCATAGCGATCCGCAACACGCGTTTCAGGCTCACGGATGTCTCGCTTGCTGACCAGGCGATTTACAGAGGAGGTGGTCAGATCATTCCCACCTCCAGACGGGCCATCTACTCTTCTTTCTTGATGGCATCTCCGCGTTTAATGGAACCCATATACTCTTGCACAATGACGGGCCCCGCAGACGCGGTCGCCTCGGTGTATACGGTCCTCTCTCGAAGAAGGGGGCACGTACTTTCCGATGGGCCGATTGCAGGGACGCCGCTTTATTCTGTTCGCGGTTTGGTACCAGTGATAGATTCTTTCGGTTTTGAGACAGATCTTAGAATCCATACACAGGGTCAAGCAGCCGTGAGTCTTGTTTTTGACAAATGGAGTGTCGTCCCGGGGGATCCGCTCGATCGTGAAGTCAAGGTTAAGCCTTTGGAGATGGCCCCTGCAATGGCCACCGCCCGCGACTTTGTGCTAAAGACTAGAAGGCGCAAAGGTTTGGCAGAGGATGTTACAGTGAGCAAATTTTTGGAGCCCGAACTCTGGAAGGGATTAAAGGAAAGTGGAGTTCTAGACTCGTGAAAGATATGGTCATGATGATGTTCATTGGAATTACCTGTTGCAAATTTTACCCGAAAATCATCTGTAGAATACTGCAAGTTCACTCATACAAATACCGTGCATTGTATATAACCCACAAACATTTAAAACAATTATAGTTCAAGAGATAGTAAATGATCATGACGTCCACTAACCTTACCGGCACGTTTCGAGCATTTTTGCAATAACACCCATAAGTGTTCCATTCTCCAACGCAGCAGCAACTCTTTCTTTATCAGCTAATTGTTTATTCACCTCCTCAGCTGTGCTGTGAGAGCCTTCTTTGATTTGGACATCCACGCGAAACCGTGGCGGCAGTGATTGCTCGAGCCGAACACGTACACCGAGGCCTATTACTGTAGCAAGGCTGCAATGCGTGATTGTTGGTGTTATGAGAACAGATACTGTCCGAAGAACTGATTCCGGCACATCGGGGAGTGTTGGCTTTATAGCAATATCTGGAAGGGATACAACGGCCAGGGCTCCTAGAGATATCGGATGCTCTGGATCGGAAATAGATGATATGAGATCTAACGGCCACAATTGAGTTAACCCCTCTTCTGGCGCATGCAGCGATCAAAGGAAGCAAATAGCGCACCATATATTTCTTGCTCATCAATCGGCTCTTCTAGCACCTCTTCTTCGTCGCTAGAATCAGAAGATGAGTATAGAGCGGTGGGCCAATCATTTGAATATGCAGACGGTGGAAAGATTGATGCAAGATTGTCGACTCTGTCTGTGCCTGCCTTGCTCAATGCAGCCGAACCCAATCGAGTGGGGAGATCGGCAACATTCAATATGGTCGGGTTTGAATTCTGCACCTCGGACGCCATGTTTTCTGTGACTCCGGGATCCCTGAAGCAAGAAGCAAGAAGCGCGTGCGGAGATAGGTCTCTCCGCGAAGGTACAGTAAGTACATCATCGACAAAGCCGTGGAACAATGATGGCCCGAATACCAGAGCCAATTGTTGGCAGGGCTTCAGAGCTGGGTAGACCAGCTAGTTCTTCGGACAAGCTCCCAACGGCATCGATAACAATATCCTTGTGCTAATCATGCCTTCAAGGGGCAAAAACATGTGCCAACTAAAGCACCTAACACTAGCTCTCATGTAAAGCAGGGTACGGAGTCTTTCTTTCCGTGCTGGTATCACTGGCCGAAGCCGTGATTCACCAGATAGGTACCACAACACGCTTGACTGGCTGTCTGAGGCATACAAGAGTTTCTGGTACTATCAGTGAAACGCTGTGAAGCCAAAATAAAATCCTTGCATCGTAACAGGACTTGATCTGCTTTGATAATAGGCCAGACCACTTACGGAGTACTCATGCCCGGTTTGTGATAGCTATGGTGATCATAGGAAGTGTAAGGATTTATATACAGGATGACTACAAATTAAAAAGGTACGATACTGCTAACGATGCTTCTCAAAAGCCTCTGGGTAATCAAGGGGACCGACACGCCCAGGCATAACCTTGTGGACAACTATGAGTATGATGTATTGTACCTACTAAAGTATGTATGTAGATGGTGCCGCCTAGGAGATCGCGGCGGCGGAATAGCCTGATGACCTAACCAAGGTGGTAACCAAGGTGGTGGTAGGTAGGTAAGTTACCCTCTTAGCATGGATTCCCGCCGCAACTCCTCCAGCCCAGCTCAGAGAGTGTTCCTGTGCCTTACCTGCAAGACATTGCCTCGGTGGATATCCTCCAATGCACTCAGTGCTTTCATCATATCTCTTTTGCCCCTTCACTGATTAACTGTGAACTCCAAGGATTAACTAAACTTGTTATCCATTCATCCGATCACATCGGCCTTGTGCTCGCATTTTATGAATGATTCTAGATGGTGACCGCCAAATCAGGGTGTGATGCGCCAATACTCACGTCCTTGTCTAGTCAAGTATTCACTGGAAGGTCAAATCTACTGATAGTGTCCACTACAATGCAGACTGGATAACCCCTTATACGCCTCGATATAAGGTAGGTACCATTGTCTCTTCTCATTCCCCTCCCCCGCCATTTACCATTTCTCCATTTGTGTTCCCCCTCGCGCCCCTCTCCACTTCTGCTTGATGGCAATCATCACAGCCTCTCCGGCAGCCACGTAGTTAATACCCATCTTCTGGGCATCACCAGTCGTTTTTGTGTTCCTGGTTTCCGATGCCAGCAGGCTACTTCTGTTCATCTCGCTGTGTTCCATTCCGCTCCTTGTCTTCTGTCAGGCGTCATGGCCTTTACCGAGCGGCGCATGTCTCAGAATAAACTGACGGCTCATAGTTCACGGATGCAGCTTCTTTCCATTCACTCAGAATCTCCCTGGGCTGCGAACCACTTGTCTGAAATCCATTCACATTCGCCCGGATTTCAATTCATCTTTGGATCCGTACTTACGCTGTGACTTCCTGGTGCTGACTTGCAACATTTGTTCGGGGAAACGACAAGGGCTTTTTGAATACTTCACTATTGCACCTATAACCTTGCATGCTCGAGCGAATGCATGATCGAATCCCTGGAGTGCAGCTTCTTCACCAGCGAGCAGCCTTCGACATAGAGCTACTACTTCCCGCTCAGCTTTAGTGGCACGGCTCTTCCATGGCACATAATCCATAGCCATAAAAGGGGCTGCTTTTTTCGCAAAATTTCTAGTGTCAGGCAAAGCGATCAGCTTCGCTTTGCTTCCCTTTCAGTTCTCTCTCAGGCGCTCTTCGTCGGCCGCATTGCCTCATACGTTTCGAGTCATCCGGACAAGGCGGGCCTTACGGACTTACTCCGAATATAGTTGGCAGTAGCGCCCGTTATATACCGTCCACGAGCTGGCCTTGGCTTCGTTCTGAGCTACCTTAGCGACCTTCTCAACTGCGCCAATATGCAGAGCTATTCGTTTGCAACACCCGTTGGTGCCCCAAGAGAAGGGCAAAAAAGTAAGGTTTCCCCGGTATTACACATTTTGATTCTTTGCCACATCATTTATCCTAGAACATCTTTGCCATCTCCTTTATTACAGTTGTTGATGGCTTGTATGCAGATTATGTCTTTGTCGATGAACATAATCGGCACAAAAGACTCAAAGGTACGCTTTGAAGCTAGTTTCTCCAAACTTCGCAGCCAATTGAGACTAAACACTATGTCAATAGTCATGCGAGCCTGCAATGGTTGTAGGAAGCGGAAAATCAAGTGTGATGCTGCCACGACCAATACATGGCCATGCTCAGCATGTACCCGCTTGAAACTTGTATGCGTCCCACCCACGATTGGGCAAGACAACGAATATTTTGCTGGGCACGGTATCGAGCCAAACTCCGGAGGCTCTCTAGCAACGTCTAATGCGCCAGAATCTTCGGTTTCCTCGTTCGCAGTATCGCCGGCCTTCAGAGATAGCGGTCAACATCCTGCGGGGCACATAAATTCTTATCACGATGAACTCGGTGTTTATACACAATTTGGACAGCCCACTCCTAGTCAGTCGGCCGCTTATGACCTACGGCCGTCGCATGTGCCTGTATCATCGCATGACTCCTATCAGCAACCACAAAGCTTCACAGGTGACCATGCGCAGACGCTGGGCGCTACGGAAAGGGACGTTTTTAGCGAACATGACCCGTCAACTGCGGAGAATCTGAGTGAAGTTCTTGGCGAGCTTAGGATAGACGAAACCGGCATTGGTAAGCATTATGCAGCCTAGCGTCTGTTACAACCGGTAGCTTACGGCCATGCAGCGCCATATATCAGGCAGCAAAGAAAGGAGAGAGCCGAGCCAGAAATCCCAACTCAGGATGATGCGGACGAGAAGCTCCCTCCTCTCAGTACTGGTGCCGGTTCCACCATACGTATCCCACCTGAGCTTATGCCGTCAGATGATGAGGTCATGAAATATTTCAAGATCTACTTCGATGATATACACCCTTATGTTCCGGTTGTTCATAGGTCCCATCTGTACTTCCAGTGGCAGCATGAACGGAGCTCAATCTCACCGTTATTACTCGAGGCCATGTTTGCATGCGCTGGAAGATTGTCGGATGATCCAGCTCAGGGAGCCCAATGGCTAGCGTTAGCAAATAGTGAGCCAGTGTAGCCCCTCTCTGCAGCCTGTCAGGGCATCTGTTTCTAATATCAACCTCTTATTCCAGGACACGAATCCAGCTTCATGGATGAGCCACGCCTGAGCACAATTCAGGCATTACTCTTACTTCTCAAGGCTCGAGAATCACGGCCCAAAAAAGGCTATTACTACCGCTCATGGCAAACAGTGAAGACTATTGTCTCGATGGCCAAAGATTTGGATATACATGAGCATAATAACATTCATGTGGAGGAACGATGCTGTGATTTGAATCCTGTCGAGTGCTTGGTGCAAACAAGGGTGTGGCAAGCCCTCCTAGTCGTCGAGGTCATGATTGGTGCTCCTCAGGGTATGTCGCTATGTCTTTCGTGGTTCGTATAATACTGACAATGCCAGGTCGCTCGGATTATGGTGTCGACCCGAGCACTGTGAACATGAGCCCGACATTGGAAATTAACGGCCTTGATCAATTTGAGGTTGATAGATCTAGGCAGTATGCGTATTTTGTTAAGAACGCATCCCATATTCGCATCATTGCGGACATATACCACAAGATCAAGAAGCAAAAAGACTGGGGAGCGAACCCTAAATTTGTCGAGAAGAACCCTTTGTTCACTGACTGGCTTCAGAGTCTCCCCCCTGATCTACAAGTGAACTATCCGCCCGATGGCTCACCTCCTTGGATTCCCTCTCATTTCGTTGGAAATATGCATTCCCACTGTCATCTTGGAATTATTCTGCTACATCGACCCCAGTTACTCGCGTCAAAGTCCTTTACTGCCGGGGGAGGCTGGAAGATGCACATGGCATTGTGTTATTCTTCTGCCAAGTACTTATGTAGACTACAGGAAGCCATTCTGAATCGCTTTGGCCTATCTGGCCTTCTTTTCATGCAACGAGGCATAAATTTCACAATCTACACTGTCCTTACCTGCACAATGCTACACCTCGTGAGTCATAACACTCTTGTCTCACACCCTGGGGTTATCGCTAACCTTTCTCTAGGTTGCTATAACGTCACCAGATCCCAATTTCCATACGGACGCCAGGGAGTATTTCACTCGACACATGAGGATTCTTGAGCGATGCTCGACTGCTTGGCCCATGCCAGAATTACAAGCACAAATAGATTCCTTGCGTTTCGCATTTTCTGCTGATGTCCATCGACCATTTGAACTGAAGGCAACCTTCCCGTATGGCAGCCCATCTGAGCCATATCACCCAAGCCCACCGCTCGATTCGAGCTACGGTGCTCAACTAAATCAAGCCTCCAATTTTCCGAATAGAGTGGGTCATACAGCATATCAAATTACCCCTCCAGTGTCTACTGTTACTGAGGAATCAAAGTCGGATTCATCTCAGCTTCAGCCGTTGGGATTAATCTCGTCCCAGTCGATTTCGAGCCACAGTATAGATGCGCCTTTGGTCGATGAGAGTAGTTGGGATCCCACTCGTATCATCAAGTAAGAGTGAACCCCTTACCGTTTATCTCATCTGTCGCAAATATCACTAACACACCTACTCTCGATCAAGCCAATGGGACATGGCATTTTCTATTGGGCCACCCACTGTCAATACCAATTCCCCGCCTATGGCTATAAGTAATCCTCCACAGATACAGTCATCTATTGCCGGTCAATTTCCGGTCCAATATGGCACACCGACTACGAAGCTTGCCACAATCGCCCCATCGCACCCATTACCACAAGCCCAATTTACGGGGCAACAAGTACTTTTTACTGCACGTGACTGGCAACAAAGCGTTGCCAGTGTGTATGACCCTAACGGGTTAAAAAGACGCTGGAACTATTCTCTCGACTTGGGCACCGAGGAAGTTTCCAAACGACAACATTCATGAGCTTTATGAGATTCTTCTCACCTAGAACAGCACCAGGTATTTTCGTGTTCAGCTGCTTCTGCATGCGATTGGTGCCTACTGGTTGATTCTCTTGGTTCGGCAGATTACTTATCTCTTCCGTGCGCGTCCTCTTACTTGTCATAAATACTGTCGAGAGTGCTTATTTCATGGCTCTGATTTCTATACCCTCTATACGTACATTTGCACAGTATCATACACAATCATTGACGACGGAGACAAAGCATATCATTCACACCTTTGGTGATCTGAAACGACATTTTTCATGGGTGTAGAGGCTCTCGTAGCCTGTCCATCTGCAACAATAGCACAACCGGGTTGTTCGGGGCGTGCAATGGCTACTTTTCTTTCTCTTGTAAAGTAAATGCAAAACACGATCTTATGTAGATCGGAGCTTCTGGGCCTTGTGCAAACAGGAAAGCGCAGATATGCTATACTCAGGAAATTCAAATGGACTTTATACTTGTCAGCCTCGTTTAAGGCTTCGAGTGGTCCTAGAATGAGCAACGGCGAAAGTGAAAGGAAGGTTCTGCGTGGTGGACACTGACCGCGTGACAAAGTACAAGGGACAATGGGCTTTGTCGAAATACAGATCCCACAGTAAGCAGTGTGAGGCGGGCGAGTGGGATAGATGGCATGCAGACCAGCAACGACTTGTCCAAGGTGCAAGGGAAAATTGGTGAGGCAATTGATAAAAAGAGATTTGCGGTTGTTCAATGATGACGAGAAACGCCTATACGTTCGTCGCGAGAACGAACTATTCTTGCCTTGTCTCCAGGCAAAGGTTTCAGTTCATCATTTGGATCAAAGTTGACAGGATAGGTGTCCGTGGCATGATTTGTAACTTCGTTGCTTCGAGTCAACTTGCGAAGTCGCGCTTCTTCGAAGGCAACAAGGTCTTCTGATGTCACGGCTATTGCGGTTGGCTTACGGCGAAGCATTTTGTTAGAAGGCTATAATCAAACGATGAATGAATTTGATGAAAAATAAATACTTTAACCTGGGTTTGGAATGTAAGAATCCCGGAGGAAATGATAGCATGGCGAGGCAATCACAGGCACGTGATCATGTAGCATCCGCGGCTTGCAACAAACAATTTTACACTTACCTTAAATCACCTGTGATACATCTTTCTCGCCATCAAAGATGTTTCAATCCCGGATTCCGCTTCTACACCAAGGGTGTGCTAAGCTGACTGAAAAGCCTCATGCATTTGTTCGTTGCTTGTCTGCCACTGACTTCTTGGCCCAGACCAATACACCTCGATCCGGTAAGTCTGCAAATTTTGTGGTGGTGCCAGCCATGGGGCTGCCATTATACCTTCGCTCAGGTTGTGTCGATGAACCTTCGATAACACTCTTGAATTCTTTTATTTGACTTGTGCTTGTATTTCTCACTGTTTGGTCCTAATCATCCTAGGTACTCGAGGAGTCACTACCTCTTCCACCTCGAACTCGAGCGGAGCCTCCCAGGCTCGACCTAGGAGGCCTATCATCCCACCAGCTCGCCTAAATTCCAGAAACACGGACTCCGATCGTCCTCTTCCTCGAAGAGTTATTGATGCAAGATCCTTAGCCGCTGGTCGAAGCGGTTCTCAGCCCACCAACATCATAAGGGGGCCAAGACTTCGGACTCCTCAGAATGTAACAGCTGCCCGGAGCCGCGGACCGAGACCTCCCACGCAAAAGTTCACGACCAAAGATCGGAGACAACGTCGCACACGCACCCCATCAGATGTCGATATAGATGAGGCGATCGATGGACAAGGGATCAGAGACGTGTTCGATGAACTTGCAGAGCAAGCAAAGCCCGTCTCCGTTCGTTATGATCCGGAGCCCGTCACCTTGGACTCTCTAAGGGAGACGTGGCCAGCTTTGCCTACCGATGTCGGTGCTCATATAGCCGGAGTTGCTGAGACACTGTCGTCGATTAGCGCCCGCTTCGCCCACGGTTATGTTTCTCCTACAGAAATGGGCAAGCGGCTATTCCAAGGGAGATATGTTCGCTTCTTGGACGAAGAGGAGAAGTCACTTGCTGTAGCAGAGGCAAGGAGGCTGTCTCAAGTACTTGCGGACAAGCTCTCACAGCGAAAAGGCGATCTGGTTGAGCCCAACGAAGTCGCGTTCAGCCCAATTGACGAAAAGGATCGAAAGACTCTGATTGAAATGCTCGTTCAGGGTAAATATTCAAAGACTTTAGATGGGCAGTCTGCCCAATCTCCCGTCCTGGATCAGATTGCGACGAACCTGAAAAACAACGGGTCATATCTCACAGCTGGAAAGGATATGCAGTTCTTTGCTAAGGTGGAATCACTTTTGAGCTCTGGCCGTCCTACAAGGCGTATTTAACCGTCCTCGTTCTTGCTGTACTTCATGTATACTTAGTCATTTATTCTTACATGCTTTGCTGTTGCTGATGTGGCTTGAACTTCCTGTTGTAACTCTCGGTGACTGGAAAAGTTTCTGAAAGCCGTAAATGCTCATGACCTCTGCCCTTGCTGTAGGGAGGAGGCCTGATTGCCAGCTCAGTTTTACGCTCTCTCCATGGCCTTCTTCGCCGTTTCAAATAGTTCTTTCACATCTTTCTGCCCCTTTTCTGAGAGTTTTTCCATTTGTTCCTGTGCCTTTCGGACATCATCCGGTCTAGCAGCCTTCTTTTTCTGCATGTCTTGGAGTCGTTTGTGTACGCCGCCTCTCGAATCCCGCACTGCCGTAACCGCTTTCTCCATCGCTTTCTTAGCCATGATAACTGCCTGCTCCCGGGATTCTTTCGTGGGTGGTGGGATGGGAACATTGAGCTGGAGAGCATTGTGAGGATCGGCTTGAGGGGTCAAAGATAAATTGGAGGAAATGATTGCAGAGATAATTGATTTAACGTGCTAGAAATCAAGGTGAATAAGTCAGAGTAAGTTCAACAGTAAATCATATAGCATAAAAGAGGGAATTGGCATACATCTTCTTCCGCAGCCAAGACTGTGACCATCCGTCCGCCTTTCGGTATGACCTGGGCTAAGTCTCCGAGTCTCAATGTCTCTTTGTTCGCTTTGCTGAGCTGCACCCGCAGGCTCTCGATAGCATCTATATCAAACCGCCCACCGCCACGGAGTTTGGAGAGATCATCTTTCAAGCTGGACAAAGCAGCAGAAATGCCATCATGGAGCTGGGACAGGTCGTAAGGGTCACCAGAAGCTAGTGAGTCTTTAGGGGCTCTATCTTCGGCCGCTGCGCTGGAAGATGATCTTGATTTATCCTTCTTCTTGTGAAGTGAAGTTGAGTTGGAAAAACTGCGATATTCCGGTACTACTGCAAGTTGAGCAGAGAGTCTATGCAAATCGGTAAGCGGTGAAGAAGAGATTACTGAAGCGATTGGGGTGAGGCATCGAGCACCAAAAGCTCTCGAGATTGCTGCAATCGCACGCATTGCTGTGGTGATTGGGTGTCGGTTTGTTTCGCAGAGTGGTTTAGTCTTGACAAAGTCATTATCACACATGCGAGGTTTTTGCTGAGCTTGAACTTTTGCATGGCTTACTTAAGGCTGAACCAGCCGGTGCATACAGCGCATATTACTTAACATCAACATCGGGCTGGACCCACTTGGCATGAGTAGCAGCGAAGCTCTCTTTAGGGTCAGAGTGCAACAGTCCTGCGTTGAAGACGCCGAAAGTGCTACACAATTAGTCGTATGTATGCATACTTCATATCTCTAGTGGTGTCACATAAAGGAACCTTTGAACGAGAAAAAATGTACTTTTCATATTTGTCTCCCCAATCATAAATAAACACTCTCAATCCAGAAAGGGTCCGTAGGTAACATAATAGTCTTTGATCTCATGTGTGGCGAAATAATTCTTCACTGAAAATAGCAAGCAAGGGTTGGGGGTAACTCGGAGGGCAGGCTCCCTAGTCTCAAAATGGGGGATTATTATAGCAGAATGAGGCTCGGAAGAATTAACGAGTAGCCATAGCCTTGGTGATGAGTCTCTTGAGAGCAAGCTCCTTCTTCTTCAAGTCCTCGGGGGTGGAATCCTCAATTTCAAGCTGAGCCATGGCATCGCTGAGAGCGGATTCGATCTTCTCCTTGTTGCCACGCTTGAGCTTAAGAGACATGGTGGGGTCGGAGACAATTTCCTCAACGCGAGAGATGTAGGACTCAAGCTGTTGGCGAGACTCAAACTTCTTGGTGAAGGCCTCGTCGCTAGACTTGAACTTGGCAGCATCTAGACGTGTTGTTAGTATACGAGACTATCCGAGCGGCAAAAATTCTTACCATCAATCATCTGCTCAATTTCAGTGGTAGAAAGCTTGCCAACAGCGTTAGAGATAGTGATGTTGGCAGTACGGCCAGACGACTTCTCAGTAGCAGTGACCTTAAGGATACCGTTGACATCAACCTCGAAGACAACCTCAAGGGCAGCTTCACCAGCTCTCATGGGAGGGATGGGTGCCAAGGTGAACTCGCCCAAGGAGGTATTGTCAGCACAGTTAGTACGCTCACCCTGGTAAACGGGGAACTGGACGGTGGTTTGGTTGTCAACGACGGTTGTAAAAGTGCGCTTCTTGATGGTAGGGACAGTCTGGCCACGGGCAACGACGGGGGCGAAGATGTTACCCTCCATAGCAACACCAAGAGACAGAGGAACAACGTCGAGCAGCAAAAGATCCTGAGTCTCGGCAGAAGTAGCCTTTCCAGACAGAATTCCAGCTTGCACGGCAGCACCGTAGGCAACAGCCTCATCGGGGTTAATGCTCTGTCAATTATGTCAGTTTAAGGTTAGAGAAGCGAGTATTGAGCGGCATGTTTACCTTCTCCAGCTTCTTGCCATCGAAGAAATCGCTGAGAAGCTTCTGAATACGGGGGATACGGGTAGAACCACCGACGAGCACGATCTCGTCAACCTGGCTCTTCTCAAGACCGGAGTCCTTCAGGACCTGCTGAACAGGCTCAAGGGTACCGGAGAAGGACTTGGCGTTGAGATCTTCGAAACGGGCACGAGTAATGGAGGAGTTGAAGTCCTCGCCATCGAACAGAGAATCGATCTCAACTGTGGTCTGGGTGGCATTGGACAGAGTGCGCTTAGCACGCTCACAGGCGGTTCTCAGGCGGCGGAGGGCTCTAGGGTCACCAGACAGGTCCTTTCCAGTCTTACGCTGAAATTCCTTCTTGAAGAAGTCCAAGAGGTTAGTGTCGAAGTCCTGTCCACCAAGGTGGGTATCTCCAGCAGTGGCCTTGACGGTGAAGACACCTCCCTGGATGTTGAGAAGGGACACATCGAAAGTACCACCACCCAGATCGTAGATGAGGACATTGCGCTCCTTCTCAGACTTGCCAGAGCCAAGACCATAAGCGATAGCAGCAGCAGTGGGCTCGTTGATGATACGGAGGACATTCAGGCCAGCAATAGCACCAGCATCCTTGGTAGCCTGACGTTGGTTGTCGTTGAAGTAGGCAGGAACCGTGATAACGGCCTTCTCAACCTTCTTTCCGAGCTTGGTCTCGGCGACTTCCTTCATCTATCTCAGAAGTCAGCAGCCGACCCGACGACCTGTTTTGGACAAAAGTCGATTACCTTCATCAGGACCATGGAGGAGATTTCCTGAGGAGTGAAAGTCTTTCTCTCGCCAAGGTACTCGACCTCAACGGCAGGGTTGCCACCCTGGTCGACAACCTTGAAAGGCCACGACTCGATATCCTTCTTAACAATAGGATCCTCAGACCGACGACCAATAAGACGCCTAGGATGCATCAGATTGTGCATGTAAAAAAGAAGCCCTGAATGGGTTGAGAGCACTCACTTGATATCGAAGATAGTGTTCTCGGGGTTCATGGCGGCCTGGTTCTTGGCGGCCTCACCGATCAGACGTTCCTTGTCGGTGAAAGAAACGAAAGAGGGGGTTGTGTAGCTACCCTGCTCGTTGGCGACTAATGGACATGTTAAGCATAGCGGCTAATGTCTAGTAGCTGGCAAATACATACTGATCTCAACATTGGTGCCTTCATAGTTGGCAACGCAAGAGTAGGTTGTGCCTTAGTTTGTTGTCAGCCATGTTCAGAACAAATCTGCACGTTGAACAGAAATTTCACATTCGATGGTGGAAGGGAGATGGCAAGGTGAGTTAGCATACCAAGATCGATGCCAATGGCACCTTCGTAAACCTCGTCAGCCATATTGAAGATGTGAGAAACTGATATGGAGATGAGAGGAATCTAGGTGAAAATTTTGGGGAGATTGTTGGAGGGAGAAGGTCTTATAAAAAACGCCCCAGGTGTTGAGGTGGGAGTGATTAAATTTTTATTCTGGAAAGGGAAAGGTAAAAAAAATGGAGGAAAAAACCCCCCACTTTTCCTCTTTTTCTTTGGTTCTCGTTTCCCTCCAAGGCTCCAACCCTCCCGCGCCCTCGGCTGAGATGACCTACTAACTTAGTAACACTTAACCCTTAGTAATCGTTGTCCTTCCGTAACTAAGTCAGGTTAAGTTAGTTGGTTGGTACGTTAGGTCACCTAACCAGTACCTCAGTCAACACTGGCTACTGAGAATATTCAATAAGCAACCTCTTCCTACCATTTCAGGTATGGCCAGGTGTCAGGCTATGGATCCTTATCCAGTCAAGCCTAGCATACTAGTAAGCCTAGGCCTCAATTTATCCTCATAATCCACACATTATATTCCTCGCTGCCGTTAAATGTAGTAGGCATCTGCCCAGGAGTATCATCCACCAAATATTAACCGCTATGTTGCTGGCTATTTTGTAGTAATGATGGTCCTAAGTGAAAGGCTATTGATAACATTCTGTTTCTATTCATGCATCTTTTTGCAGATGAAACTTATTATATAAGGGATATATGATAAAGAACTTCAGAACTCACATTGAAGACTTGTTATAGATGAGGTTTCAAAGCTTGGTATAGAACTATATAGTACATCTGGAATAGTACATAAGACATCATATTTTTGAATGTACGCACAGCCTTGTATATCTGACTGGATACAATTCCTAAGTATGATATTTTCTCGCAGATAGTCCCTTACTGGTCCTATTCTAGGTCCGACAGTCAATGTTACCTTCTACCCTCAATACACCCTCAAAATCTCCTGCAGAATACGAGGTAGCGATGGGTAAGATACTTGAGTGGGAGGACAGTGTGTAATCTCTGGGAACTTGCTTTAATCTCGAAGGGCACAAACCAGAACCCTGATTACTGGCATTTTTTATTTTCTAGAAGGCTATTTAACAAGCTTCCCTGTCATAAAAAGGGTGGGAGAACCATATGACCTCTACCAGAGTGACAGAAGATACCAGCTGCGTTTCAAAGAGAACCCAGACTATCAACTTCATGACACTGTCCTATATCACCAATATATTTGGACATCTTAGAGGTAACTCAAATCGAGTCCAGCCCCCAGGCTACTAAACCTATCCCTCCCCCGGCGAGATCATATGCGTCCTTTGGACAATAGAACCAAGCATTCAATGCTTTCATGGAACATACACGTGGAAAGAAGAGGTATTGCTCTTATCATGCTGCTTCAGTTGTTGCAGGGTTTCCAGTTAACCATCAAATTGGTTACTTGATTGATACTACATAGGTCTTGCGAAATCGACTTGTCACTAGCAAAATCTCATTTTCAGGAAGAAGGTTCCTAGCACTATCCAATATACTCGAAAACTTGTGTTATAAATAGAGGAACGCCAGTGTGTCTTGTTTACCTAAGAGTTTATGACTTACTTGGTAAGACATCTTTCTATATGGTTGACACCTCAGGCACTGATATTAATCTGGATAATCCCACTAGCAGTATCCCAAAGAGTTGCAAAGCCACTTGGTTAACTTAAGTCGACCCCGTCCGATCTCCTGTCCCTCGGCCCAAGAACAAATCACAAATCCCCGCATGCATATAAGGATTCTACTGCATCTCAGGCCTTAGAAATATTTTGATCGCACTGTACCCGTGACCAAATCTCACTTGTTTGTCCCGGTTCTTGCGCCTCCTGACCCGTGAGTGTCCATACAGAACCACAGATTATTTTCTTGTCATGAATTCAATGTCTTCACCCACTAACCCTATTATCTTGTTTATAACTAGAATACTTGTTTATAGCTAGAATACTTGTCTGTACTGTGCTACCAACTCCTCCGCCGTTCCAAATGGATATCGATATGAGCAGAAGAAACAAGAAGCCACGCCTATTACTAGAATCAGAACGTGAGAGACTCGAAGAATTCATTGACTCTATACACTACTCTGCCAGGTAATGACCTCGACCAGATACATATGGGCTTTTCTCACCTTAACCTGGTTTCTAGATACTCTGATGATCAATTCGAATACCGACATGTCCAACTCCCCAAGAACATGCTGAAAAAGATACCGGCCGACTACTTCGATAGCGCAAAAGGAACTTTAAAATTGCTCTGGGAAGATGAGTGGCGAGCGCTTGGTATAACTCAGGTATGGCTGGTTGACTATGATGCCTATAACAATTTGATAGGTCAAGGTGGCTCTAATTCACTGTACAGAGTTTGGGCTGGGAGCATTACGAAGTACATGAGCCAGAGCCTCACATTTTATTATTCAAGTGAGTTTCGAACATTCGCCTGATTATGGTGACTCTGACAGCAACATATAGACGTCCTCTCAACTATCAACCACCGCTATCCCAGTGAGCAGGAGTATGCGTGAGAACTCTGTCGGGCTTGCCTATGTCAAACAGGAGACTGAGGCTCTCCGAAGCGGACTTTTTGTGCGATCAAAAAGAGACTCGTACATGAACATCTAACCAGACAGTTACTCTACACAAACTGATCCCACGAGTTCGTTCTTCACCTGTGATTCCATTTCAGCCCGAGAAGTCACCTCATGTTACATTTTCGGCAAGCCATTGCTCCAATTGGGTGGCCGTGAAGCTACTGCCAATTTCTGGTTCTTCAGTTCACTGGCCAACAGAGTCAGTATGAAGACCGAGGCGTCTTAGGCTATATGCTGCCCGCATTGAACTAAACGGTTGGGGAGATATGGGCTCCAATAACCCGGTTCGACTATACCCCGGATCAGTATTCTTGTGGTTGACTTAAAATAGTAATCTATCTGAATACCATTAATTTGATATCCTCGGTCACGTGGTTTCCTGTATCCAATTGCGCTTTGGTCCCAGCTTCGACGCCCACTTTCAGAGATTCAAGCATTCTTCGCGTCTCCCACTGACACTTACTGCAATTTTCACCGAGCCTTGATACGCTGTACTGCGTGTTTCGTAAATTGTGCGATGTTTCTAAGGAAACACACCGATGTTTGAGAATGCAGTGCTGAATTCTCATGATATCTCCGGGGGTATCTTCAGGGCCGCTGCAGCAGCTTCGTGTGTTTGTATTGATGAAGGGTGACAGGGCTGAATATGCTGGCGGAATGTAACTTAATGGTTGAATTTATAGACTTTTGTATCTATAACCTAAGAGCAGATTCGAAAGGTATCAAAGAGGCTCGCAGAGAGTAAGATAGGAGGTATCACTCAGTAGACACCCTTCCAGCAAACATGCTAGAACACAAAGGAAAACCATCATTCGGGTCTGATTGAAAGCACAAGCCGAATATGTGTTGAATATATTGATTGCATTTATACCCATGCAAGGTTCCGAGATATGTGCCTTTAATGTAATTAAACCCGATAGACATTGAAAAGCCAATCTCAGGCGGAGAGTCATGTTCTCTCTTTTTGTTTTGATCACAGGCGTACGGACAATGGATGAATTAAACCACTACTAACGACTTGTAAACTCATACAGAAGAAGAATTTTGGGGGTGACAAAGAATTGAGAGGATTATGTCTGACATTTAGGCGGCTTGTCGGGTGATGTCATAACTGTAGAGCCTCGGCAATAGCAGGTCTAGAAGGATATAGTGTGACCTCCCAGTGTAACAAAATAATAGGAACATATGTTTGATTTTGCTATCCTGACGTATCTATCATATAATAATATTACTTATTTTTTTCTCATAGATATAATCGTATTATCATATTTATTGATATATTTATCTATAACAATACTATACTACTTATTTATATAGCTGCCTTCCTCATCATCCTAGCACCAGAACTTTAAAAGAGTTAATTTCTTTATTTTTTTTATTATTCTTTATAATCAAAACTATATTAGTTGTTTATAGTAAGTATTACACGGATTATAACTGGTAGCATTCTGCAGCAGTCTAGATATTTTCTATATATATTTTTTTAAAAAAATTATACTTTTTTATTTGTACATTTATTCTTTGTTTCTTTTGTTCTAATTATGGCTGTCAGTATCGCGGCTACTGTGTTTGGGCCGCATATTGCCTCAGGTGACTTTTTGTATTACTAGTATTTACTATAAGGCTGGTAGGGTGAAATAGTTTAGTAAATAAATGTCTCTTGCAAAGCCAAAGGTAGTATACTGTATGTTGTATAATACCTGTGGATGCGGCCGCCACCTCCCAGTCCATATTTATATATTAGTATAAAGCTAATATTTTTTTCGAAGAATATATATTAGTGCTCTAAGTCCTGGGGGATTATAAAGCCTTAAGAATAGGATTTATAATCAATAAAAAAGAACTTTTAACTACTTTTATCTTATTTACCTAATATGTATAATGTATTAAATAATTTCTAACTCTTGTTCTTTTAGTTATCTGAAAAAAATAGTTTTTTAACTAAATCTTTTTTGAAATCTCTTTAGATTATTTTATTTGTTTTAAACTAAATTTATCCTATGCAAGTATATATTTATAAAGTAGAAGCTATTATTTATTAATTAAAATAATTGAAATATTAGACAAAAGAGTTAAACTTTATAAACTAAATATAAAGATATTAATATAAGGGCGACCCCAGGAATCCCATTCATCTAACTAATCCTATTTAATATATTTACTGTATTTGTTATATTTATCTTATTTACTCTTGAAACAGCCCTACAACAGATAAACAGCAGACTTATATTTTTTTATATTTAATATTTTATATTTTTAGTATTAATTTAGTAGAAATAAAATAATTTATTCAGCCCTAATATAATATTAAATACTATTTTTTTACTTTTTTTATATTCTTTATATCTTTTATATTTTTTATATTTTTTATATTTTTTATATTTTTTTGTTGTACAATACCTGTGGTATGCGGCCGCCA